AGTACGGCTTATCATCCTCAAACTGATGGGTAGACCGAACGCGTGAATGCTCAAATTGAGGATTATCTACGGTACTATGTCGCGACGGACCAATGCAACTGAGTTGAACATTTGGATACAGCAGAAATATGTTATAACAACACATTTCACAGCGCTATAGGCTGTTCTCCATGGGAGATGCTGCAAGGAAATGCTCATGGGGTTCCTCAACAGATCATTGTACTGAAACCAATGACCGAAGTGTTGGTCCCAGCCATTGAAACTTATGCGGAGCAGCTACGCCAAGGTTGGTCTAGAGCTACTGAGGCGATGGGCAAAGCTCAGGATAGGTATCAACGTGATAAGGATCAGCATTTTCGGGATGTATCCTATCAAGTGGGAGATCAGGTGTGGTTATCTTCCCAAAACTTGAACATTAAGGGTTCTTTGTCTTGGAAGCTCTTGCCGAGATATATTGGACCCTATCGGGTGCTAAAACACATTGGTGATGTATCCTATCGGTTGGATTTGCCTGCGGAGATGTCCAATGTTCATAATGTATTTCATGCCAATCTATTGGCTCCTTACACTATGGATGTTGCACGTCAAAGGGAGATTTGTCCGCCACCAGACGTTGTGGATGGTGAACCAGAATACGAAGTGGAAACTATCTTGGATTCCCAATTCCAGAGACGGGATCGTATGAAGGAATATCTAGTTAAATGGAAAAGTTACCCAACTTGTGAATCAACTTAGGAGCCTCTTAGTAATCTTAGACACGCTCGTGAGCTTGTCATAGAGTATAAGAACAGTAATAAAGACTAATTCTTGTAAAAACCTTGTAATAAATCTTGCAAATCAATAAAGTAATATATTTCTATCAATCAAAGTGTCGTTTCTTTCATTCATTCGTACTTGGGTCAGTTTTGGCAAGCTGACTTCAACACTTCGGTGCATGGGTCCAATCCATAACCATGGGGATAACTATTATAGACTGATTACAAGTCCCCGCCTCTCTCTCGATGACTCATTTTCGAAAAGGGGCGTGGTCGTGTAAACAATTTAATCTGCCAGTTTATAATAGTTGTCTAAATCTTCCCGACGAGGTTGATTTCTTGCTTAGGGGTAGTTGGGCCTCTGGCCTTCTCCCTATGTCCCTACGGGCAGGGATGTATCATTCCTTTGTAAGCCGAGTGGTACTTAGAGCAGCAAGGGTGGCTAACTCCATTAGTCATTTCCTTGTCGGTGATGGCCGGAGGGTGTCTGAGTCTTAACGTCTTTGGACGTAGAGGAGAGGTCGTTCCATAACTCATTTAAGTCGGTGTGTTTCCCACATAGTGTGCTTCCGTTAACTTTCGGAGTTGTTTCCTTGACGGTTTGCTAGACTCGGGTATGCATCGATGAGGACGTCGATCTTCTTCAAGGGGGGGAGAGTGTCGCAAATGTGACTTTGGGTATCGAAAGATATTTGTCGACCAGTCCTTACGGACACTCTTTCTTTACTGCCATGACGGCAGGAGATCGGTCCAGTTGGATCCCTTTAGTAGCCCCTCTTGTGCTAGTGGAGTTAACTGGGCATTTCGAGTGTACTTAGACCGGACGAGCATAAGGACAGAATTCCTTCGTGCTATTAGCTAAGCATAGTTAGCCTAGTAAGGAGTTCTCGTCTCGTTATGTCTTGCACTGGCTAGTGACAAGAACCCTCGCGTATTGAGACTAGTCCCTCAATATCGCCGGATGATAGCTTACCATGTCTGCCAAACACCCTCGCTATCATGCCCTTTGTGTTAGTCTTATTTCGGTCCCAAATGCTATTTATAGAAAGTGTCTAGATTTGCTCATTTGGCATATCTACGGAATGTAGAGGTCAGCCTGAACACAATGGTGTTCATCCTGAGTCCAAATTCGCAATCTAGCACCATTCCATATTTAGTAAGTTTCGAGCTTGTCCCAGAGATTAACTCCTGGTACTAAGGGAGGCTTGGGGTGAAAGCCCAAAGCGTGTGTTCCTCAAAGGGAGGGGGGCTGTGGGGGGTTCCAAATGTATAATAAGGATAGTGGTTGGAATGTATGTCCGACCACCTAAGACATTAGTTTGGCTCCTGCTAGACTGTGTCGCTCCTTGTTCTACGTCTGGCTTGGGTCTAAGTCCAAGCTCCACGTTGCTCTAGTCGGTGGGGTACCCTCCTCGCGTTAGGCCACCAATATGCCAAAATTGTGCCAGACTCCGTCTGACACCATTTTGTGTGTAAGTGCTGGATACGGGGAGCTGGTGCTCGTGGGATTGTACCGGACCCTCGTTCGTAGCGCAACGGGCCTAGAGTTTGGCTCCAAATTCAAATGCGCTACAGAAACTAAAGTGATGGAAACAAAGGTAAAAACAAAGGGATAGAGAGGAACAAAAGTGAGAGGACTAAAGGAAATATCAAAAAGTATGAAACAAAGGGGAGAAGCCTCAAAGATACATTTAGCATAATTGCATTGCAAGGTCAAAAGCTTGACTCAACACCACCCACAATGACTATAACTTAAACTCAAGATTGCCCACAAACACAACTAAGTCCACCTCATCCTATACACATACGTGTATATGGCCGTTGCCATATATAATGAAAATTGGCTCTACCACATGATGCAAGTGTAGACAGCAATGTATGACAACAGGCTGAGTAATAGAAGATAAATTCGAGTCTATATCAACCAATATAGAGAGAAAAATAAAAGACCTCTTATTATAAAAACGAGTTTAAAAAATAAATATTGAATGAACTGGTGCCAAATGAACCCTTTGATAATACTCCCAAAAAAAATGGAGGGATCATTGATTTATTTTTGCAAGGACCCTTTACTACTCTTGCAACTCCTCAATTTCTGAAAGCATCTTGGTGTCTAGACCTTCTACTTTAACAACACTTAATAGGATGCTGTTGATGCCCAGGAAATGGAGGTTATCAATCTGGAAAATGCTGACAACGCTAATAAGTGTGACAAACTTCATCACATGCCCAGTAGCAAACATCATAGCCATGACCACGTCCTTGCTCTTGTCCTTGAACTCGGGTAGCAGCAACGTCAACCTCTATTAAAACAAGACCACCTTTCATAGAAAGTGGAGCTAAAGGATGTGTAACAAAAAGTGAAAGAGGTAGCATATCATAATTGTGCTAAGTAAAAAAATATTATTAAAGGTGGCTAGAGCAAGTGCATGCACAAATCTTACAAAATCTTGATAATATGTTAGCCATAACATTCCCAACTTGATCCACTCTGACATATTAGACTTCACATAAAGCAAGATGCTTCGAAAATGAATGTTAAATTGCATTATAGACTCAAATGGCCTTTAACAAAGATGATGCAATTATTGGAAGGCATCATTACAATTGTTGACTGTAGCATATGTGATCATGGGATGAGATTTGAATATATTGTCATCCTGAATCTTTGGAACCTTGGGAATAAATAGGGATAAAATAACCATTAAGGGCTCTTTTATCAAGCAATTGCCCCTTTTCCAATTGGCTTAAGGGTTTAAATGTAGTGCATGTAATCATGGAATGAGATTTGGATATATTGTCATTGTGGATCAGTAGGTTTAATGCGGAAATGGAGGTATAGGTTCCCCTTGGCTTAGTAAGGGTTATTAGTCAATAGTCAATGAAGACATTAATATTTCTGAAGAGGGGAACCTTGGGGGATAAATAGGGATAAAATAACTATTAAGGGCTCTTTCATTAAATAATTGCCCTTTTTTTAGTTGGCTTAAGGGGAGAGAGATAAAATGCACTACATAAGCATATCCAAATATGCATTTAAAGACATTTGGGAGAACACTTCAATCCTCATAAGTGGTTGCACTTAAACTATTGTGCCATTGTAATGCCATCTCTTGGAGACACATAGGAAATTTATGCAAAAGCCAAGCATCATCCCAAGAATGATATATAACAATTACTATGAAGTGATTGAACCAATAGTACATATCATCCCCAAGATTCCCATGAAAGAACTCTAGCTGGACTCAAGGATTAGTAACAAAAGCAAAAAAAGTTGTACCATATGGCATGAATGCTATTATCAATTGAGTTTGATTATTCAATTTGTAACCATATAGAATTGAACAATTGCACCAATTATTGCTCCAGAGTTAAAGGAGGAGGAGGTTGTGGCTCTACTATGAAGATGAATGAGAAGAAGGAGAAAAATTATAAGAAAAAGGAGATCTAGATAATGCAAAAAATTAAATTTAAACTAAAATCCCAAATCTTAACACTCTTTAGGGATGATCAAAATTGCCCTTCATCTCCACCAATGTGAGTGCATGGAAAATGAAAATGAAATACAAAAATGTGCATATTAATTAACCTAAAAACTTTAGTTTATATATAAAAGTGAGGGGTCCAGATTGAAACTAATATGATGGTTACCAAAATTTTATTACACTAATATTAGTATACAGCATCATTAGAATATTTTAAAAATTATTGGAATTAATATTGTCATTTAAAGTTGTATATGTTATATTTATTAGAAAAACCTTTATCTCAAATATTTTTACTGATGAGCATGCTCTTAACAGCTGACCTAATATTGCATAATAGTACCATTTAAACATTGTAATTCCATATTTGGTTGATGCTTAACACTAACATACTAGCATATTCATTTATAAGATTCAGTGAAACATTTACCATTTACAAACATAATTTCAAGCAAAGAAAAACTGATGGCATAAAAATTTCAATGCTGCTATGGCGCACCATGGCACCCTAGCGCCTAGATAAAGTAGACATTGAAAGCTTTGATCTATCCACACCCTTGCTTCAAGCGAAAATTGCTCACATCGGATGCCCTCATAACCTTTAGAAAGAGCCTCTAATGTAATGTAATGTGAATCTATGGGTGGTGTTTTGTATTTTCCTTCGGTCTTCGAATGGACGGCTGCGTGGCGCCAGATGGACAGAACAGCCTCCACGTCATTGGTACATATTGCTTTTCTTCCTTTTGTAAAAGCATTTTTCTCGTGCGAGCCGGAGAGTCCATAGCGAGCGTTCCCACGTATCGTACTCACCCTAGTCTAGGTCATCTCTTTCTCACGGAGCTTTTGGCGCTCGCCAAGCGGCGCCGCGGGGCGAGGGTATCGTGATTCGCAGCAAGAATGCGCCTCTAGCGAGCAGCCGGCGATCGATCGATCGATTTCGGGTCCGGCCGGGCGCGGGAGAAGCGATTATGGTGATGCGCAAGGTCGGCAAGTATGAGATCGGTCGGACGATCGGCGAAGGTACGTTTGCCAAGGTGAAATTCGCGCAGAACACCGAGACGGGCGAGAGCGTGGCCATGAAAGTCCTCAACAAGGAGACGATCCTCAAGCACAAGATGGTCGATCAGGTGCGTGCCTCGCGAGAAATCCCAAGAGCGCGAGTGGTTTTTCGTGCTAGGGAATGTAGGTAGCCTTGTTTTTAGTTCGTCCTCTTTTTTGTTTTGTTACTTGTGGTAATGTTCTTCACAGCTAAGATTTCCCAAAAATTTTGGCTGCTCTGCAGATTAAAAGAGAGATTTCCATCATGAAACTCGTACGACACCCAAATGTTGTGCGGCTTCACGAGGTAGAACTTGGTGATTTTTTTTTTCCTCCGTAATCCACTAGGTTCTTTTCCAGGTGCTTGCCAGTCGAACGAAAATCTACATCATCCTAGAGTTTGTAACCGGTGGAGAGTTGTTTGACAAAATTGTAAGTTCTAGACATTATGAATACGGCATTGAATTTTTTTGTTTGTCACATCCAGGTCGATCAAGGGCGGCTCACTGAGATCGAATCACGCAAGTATTTTCAGCAGCTGATTGATGCCGTAGACTACTGTCACAGCAAAGGTGTTTATCATCGTGATTTGAAGGCAAGTTTATCAACTCGTGCTTTTCTAGTTTTTGACTTTACGCTGGTTCTTTTCTTTTCTTTTTCTGTCACAGCCTGAGAATCTCTTGCTTGATTCACAAGGGAATTTGAAAATATCAGATTTTGGTTTGAGTGCTTTGCCACAACAGGTAAACACGTTTTCTTCCTCATCAATTACATGCTCATGGTTTTAGACCTTCAGGAAGATGGGCTTCTTCATACAACTTGTGGAACTCCAAACTATGTTGCTCCAGAGGTCACATATATACATCAGAGCTGGGTAGCTTGTTACTCATTTTCATGCCTGCAGGTCCTTGATAACAATGGCTATGATGGAGCAGCAGCTGATATATGGTCGTGCGGTGTTATTCTGTACGTCCTGATGGCTGGTTTTTTACCTTTTGACGAAGTGGATCTTGTCACGCTCTATCGGAAGGTAGCTGTTTCCAACTAAGAATATTTCCCCTTGACGCTTGTCTGTCTTTTACGTGCTACAGATTCATGAAGCAGAGTTCCTTTGTCCATCGTGGTTTTCACCTGGTGCGAGGTCCTTGATCTCAAGAATCCTCGATCCTAATCCTCAGACAGTACTGTCTTACTCATCTTTTAAGTTGCTGAGTCTACTCAGCCGCTAAGTTTCAGTCGTCTGGGTCTAAGCAGTTATTTGATCGAATGCTGATGGTTCTGAACTCTTGCAGCGGATTCAAATGTTTGGCATCCGAAAGGACGATTGGTTCAAGAGGAACTACGTACCTGTGAGGCTCGCAGATGATGAAGACGGGACTTTGGACGACATTGAAGCAGTTTTTGATGACTCTGAAGTAAGTCTTATCTTAGACTAGTACAATACTACAGCATCGTGTTTTCAATCCTTTTGTTTTCCAGGACCAATTTGTGAAGGAACAGAGAGACATTAACGAAGGTCCTTCGATGATGAATGCCTTCGAGCTTATTACGCTTTCACAAGGCCTCAACCTGTCTGCTCTTTTCGACAGAAGACAAGTGCGTAGTACATTACATCAAATTGTTCTCAACTCTGGCTCTTACTGTTTGCAGGACCTTGTCAAGCGTCAAACAAGATTCATCTCTAAATGCCCGGCCAAAGAGTTGCTAGCGAGAATGGAGGATACGGCGAAATCCATGGGCTACAAAGTGTATAAGCGTGGGTACAAGGTGCTGTGATCTCTGCTAACACGTTTTGGACGAGCATCTAACTTTCCCTGACTTCGTCTCTTAGATGAGATTTGAGGGGCTTACTGCGGGTAGAACGGGGCAACTTGCAGTGGCGGTCGAGGTAAAATTCTCATTAACCACCTTTTGTCCGCTCAGCAGGACTTTCTGTGAACAGGTTTTTGAAGTCGCCCCATCACTGTATATGGTCGAAGTTCGAAAAGCTGTGGGTGATACTTTGGAGTATCATAAGGTAAAGAAATTCTTCTCTCTTTTTTTCATCTTGCAAAGACACGGAATTGGCATTTGCTTTGGTGGCAGTTTTACAAATCGTTTTGTACAAATTTACGCGATACAGTCTGGAAATCCGCTGGTGATGCCAACGAGCAATCTTCGCAGTTGCTGAGAGGAGCCAGTTCCGGAGTTTTATAACAGATATAAAGAGTTTGTAGTGAAGCTGGTCTGTATAACTTCTTTTTCTTTCTGTTGTTATATATACGGCTGAGATTCTAGCAGATTGCGCGGGTGAGATTGGCGCTGATGTGGCGCTTATCCAGACGAGAGAAAGGTGTTGCTGGCCAGTGTGCGCTTGCCACGCGTCGGGGCCAATCTCTCTGGAAGAAGTTCTACTCTCCAAAGTTTTTTGAGTTTGTCGCAGAACTATAGTGCCATGGCCGCTGCTACTACCAGTGCTGCTGCCACATTGTCCACTCCAGTCGCTGGCCTCGGTGGATCTTCACTCAAAGCAGTGAAGAGATCTTCATCCTCGAGAGTTCATCTTACTTCAGGTACTGGTCCTCTCTTCGAGTTATAAGCACTGAGCTTTTCTTTTATGTGTAGCATTCGTCCACAATGCCAATGCCTCCCCGAATGCTCTTCGACTGAAGCCCTGCATGTCTCGTGTTACATGGTAATTTGTGATTTCTCGTAGAACTCTTATCCTCTTCCTTGGGACAGCTTTCGTGGAGACTGGTTGCGTACCGATCTCTCAGTGATTGGATTTGGATTGATCGGGTGGCTAGCACCATCGAGCATCCCAGCCATCAACGGCGATAGCCTGACTGGCCTGTTTTTCGGTAGCATTGGTCCCGAGCTTGCTCACTGGCCTACAGGCCCAGCTCTAACCTCGCCATTCTGGTAAGTAAAGAACTTTCTCTTTTCTCCTTTTTTCCTTTGTTGCAAATGGATGAATTTGCTTCGTTTGCTTACCCAGGTTGTGGATGATCTTGTGGCATCTGGGACTATTCATCACGCTCACTTTCGGCCAGATTGGATTCAAGGGAAGAGCCGATGGCTACTGGTAAGAACTTTTGTGTGTTTCATAGCAGCATACCAGGCAGCCTGTACGAAAAAACCTCAAAGAACGCAAAGCTGGTGAATGATTCAAGCTCTTGTATAGAAGCGCTCTGGGTTGGTTTCCTTTGCATTTTCCATGGTTAGCGCTTGCTTTTTGGCTTTGAACAGCGAGGCTTGCATGAGTAGAAAGCATTTCTCGTGCTTCCGTTATTTATAATTTAGACATTACTTTTGAAACACCAGAACAAGCAAAAACCATACAAATAAATTTCTTATCAAATTCACTAGCTTTCCTTCTGGTTCAAACTTCAATTCAGACAAGGAGTTTGGTCTTCAAGAAGATAAGTCGAAGTTTCAAAGATCGTTTTAGACCCAGCTAGAGTTCTTGAAGTTCGTAGGAATTTCCTTTCCACCATTTATTGACTTAAGGTTGGTTTGTTTTTTATTGGTTGCTTGGACCTCTCTGCAGCTTTGAAATTCAGACAAAGGTCAGTGACCAAACCAAGGAGAAAAAGAAGGCTGATTGTTTTCCTGGCTTTTACTTTTTCTCGTTTGTATCTTAGAAACTTCGGAATTGTAGAAACCTACAAAAGAAAATTAAAAAGAAAAGATTTCTTCGATTGTGAATCCTCATGCCATTTTCTCTCTCTCTCCTCTCTTTCTTTTCATAACTTACATAAAAGCGCCTCCCCAAATCCACAGGAAGCTCGCCTCCCCATAATTCAACCCCGTACAAAGACCGAGTACTGAAGCTCGTGTAAAGTATGATACTCTTCCCGGGGAACAGGGGCCATTGTTTTGCTCTACTTTTTTTTTTTTTTTCCAATCCACTCTTTTCTTTTCTCGGTGTTTTGATCTTTACAGGGGGCGGCAGGGAGCACAGAGAGCAGCATTTTTTCTGTGCAAGCTACCAACTTGGGGTCAGAGAAGAAAAAAGAGCTCCAGTCTAACGGATCACCACCGGGAAAAGCTATGGCGCCAGAGATTGTAGAGACTGCGAACTTACTAAAACCTTTTCTCTCTTCTCCGGCTTTTCAGAACCTGTTGACGCTGTCTCGATGGGCGTGGTAGAAGGAATGAGGACGTTCTTGAGGGAAATCCTCTCCAGCGCCGTCAATCTCCAGCTCCGTCTCCTCCCAATCGTCCCATCCCATCCATTCTTGCTGCTGCTGGCGATTCAAATCTCCTGGAAACCAAAGATGTTTTAATTCCCGAGCAACAGCCAAAATAAATCAAACCAAATCCCCCAAAAGAGCAAGAACTCACTCGCAAAGCCTGTGATCATGGCAGACGTGGTTTCCTCCTGTATCATCACCCTTGCGCCCAACGAGGACATTTGAGCAAAGACGAGCACTAGGAAGAACAAAAAAGGACAAGCTTTAGAACTGCTGTTTCTTCCAACAAGAGCTGAGCAGAATTACACAAGAACCAAACAGCCAAAATGAGGCAAAAGAGAGCTTACGCAGCAGCGAAAGGAGCAAAGATTTGATAGAGCCGGCCATTGTCGAGAGTAGAATTGGACGGGCCCAACACGGCAGCGAGCGAGCGAGCGAGAGAGAGAGAGAGAGAAAGAGAGCGAGAGACCGTCTCTTTTCTGGTAGCCTGTTTTGAAATTTAAAAACAGAGAGCGAACTGTTTGTGAGCGATATATGGTGGGAGAAATTACTTAAATTGTCCACTAACCTCGGTTGCTAACTCCTCCCCAAACATTATGGCCCCTCGCACGATCCCGGGGATCACATCAGGGCCGTCCGTCCAGCCCGTGCATGGCAAGCCCATGGCACGTCATACTTCCCCCCGAGGCATGATTCTCATGAAATTATGAGGATTCTGGCAAAGCACGACAAGTCAACTAATGAGTGAGAGAGCTGCTCTAAAAACGCAAAAAAAACACGACTAATAAAACTTGGATCGCTCTAGTCGTGCCTGGACACTGATAAGTTTGCTTACGTCTTCCTTGTCCATGATGACAGTGTGCTGAGGGAGACGATTTTCTCTCTTCGAGCAGCGCAAGTCCAAAATGGAGCGGCAGCAGGCTTTGACGATCTCGCAGGGGCACTGTTTTGGAGCTGAAAGGCTCAAAATACTGGGATACCAAGGACTATGAGCTATGAAAAACACCATCAACAAAGTTTTAGCTCACCCACCTTGAGCGGACATGAAACAGCTACAGGATTGAAATCCCACCCTCTACTCCAGTCCACGTCGACAGCTTGTAGATCTGATCGGGACCAGCCGCCGGCTTAATCTGCCGTCAGGAATAAAATCTGTAATAAGAACAGCACAAAATACTTTACTTACGATACTGAAAGAGCCAAGATGGCGTCATCCTTGGCTTGGCTTCGCTGGATTTTCGTCGAAGAAACTCCTTTGCTACTGCTGTGAGCAAAGCCGCACCTAACGGCAAAGACTCCTCGTCCACAGTGAAGTGAGGAGTGTGATTTGGATGCACGGAGCCCAGTGTCTCGTTCCGGATTCCCAAGTAGATGTAAGCACCAGGAACTTGTTGGAGATAGAAGGCAAAGTCTTCTCCTTTCATGGAAGCCTCTGCCACGAATACGTTACTTCCCCCCAACATGTCGGACGCAACGTCCCGGACAAGCTGGTAGGCTTCTTCATCGATCACGGTCGCGGGATAGGATGGTTCCATAAAACTGACTTGGGCCGAGCATCTGTAAACTTCGGCTTGTGCAATGATAACCTGGGGAAAATGATTTGAGAAAGCAGCTGGAAAAATCCAGTACCTGTTCGATCCTTTGCTTAAGCTTCATGAAGTTTTCGTCGGTGAATGCTCGTAAAGTCCCACCGATTACGACGTGATCGGGTATGACGTTAAAACTGCTACCAGAGTGGAACTTTGTCACAGAGACAACCTGTGATAGGCTTTGTAAGTACCTAAACAAATCCTAACAAAACAGAGACCGAGAGAAACAAACCTGTGAGTCTAAAGGATGAAATTCTCGAGAGACCAGCTGCTGCAAGCTCATGACTGTCGCGGACGCTGCCAAGATCGGGTCCACAGCGAGGTGGGGATCGGCAGCATGACCAGACTTTCCCGATATCACTGCCTCGAAAGATCCAGCAGCTGCTTTCAAAACGCCTGGCTTCGCAGCAATTGTGGAAGTCGCGTACTCGGTCGAGACATGGATCCCGAAAATGGCCTCGGCATCACCAAGAGCTCCTTCTTCGACCATCATTTTTCCACCACCACCACCTTCTTCAGCTGGTTGGAATATCAGCAGCACTGTCCCCTGGCCACATAAAGGGACACTCAGCTTCGAAACGAAGAAGATAAATAGAGGAAAATGCAAACGCAATACTTTAGCACGAAGGCAAAAAAGAAATCCAACTGAGAAAGCTTTCCAAGCAAATAAAAGAGAAGAAAAAAAAAACCTGGAGCTGTTCTTGATGTAGTGTAAGAAGCTTTGCAGCACCTAAGAGCATCGCTACGTGCGCATCGTGTCCACAGGCGTGCATTCTTCCAGGAACTCTGCTCTTGTGCTCCCATTCCATCGCTTCCTACCAAGAACATCACGAAAAAACTCCAGCAAACGCTCTACAGAGATTTAAACTGCGATTACCTGGATAGGCAGCGCATCCATGTCCGCGCGAAGAGCTACAAATGGCCGATCGCCACTCCCCACGGAAGCGACGACGCCGCTGCTCGCGACGGGCCAGCGGTAGGCGACGCCCATGGCATTGAGCTCCGACCTCACCAGCGCGCTCGTCTCGACCAGATCAAACCCTAGCTCCGGATTCTCGTGAATCCTCCGGCGAACGCCCTTGATCCAGTCCTGGGACAACTCTACATTCTCAGCAGCGTCGCTTGCGCTCGCCAAAAGCACCACCAAAAACCACAAGAAATATGACATTCCCAAAACCCTAATGTTATCAACTTCTTTCCAAATGGTTGTAGCAGGAGAAGAACTTGATGAAGACGGCTGTTTTTGATGATTCTGAAGTAAGTCCTGTGTTAATACAATTGTATTTTCATTCCTTTTGTACGTTTTTGAGCTCTTTTCGACAGATCGATAGATATTGGCCCCAGGGAAGAAATCCGATGAGATGCCGTTTTAGGCGGCTGCTGGATCATCCATCCTAAGCATCGAAGCTCAGGCCCAGATAGACTCAGCAAACTTAAAAGATTGAGCACTGAAAACCAGAAGGGAGAAATTATGGATCTTGGATTTCACACCTCAAGACGTTCATATCATAAAACCTTTAACTTATTTATATATAACCTAAATACATGTTCAAATGATTCTTGGATTTAGTGCATTATCTACTTATATTTATATTTGTGTTTGAATTATACTAATCCATCAATTTATTCGAGATGCCCTCATCTGGGCTTTTAAATATTCTAAAATATTAAATGGCGGAAACAGTGCAATGTGTTTTTATGGAAAACACCCTCAGTTACAAGCTTTCTTCAGAAATCATATTGATTAATCCGTGTTGGCTTTCAGTGTTCACCTCTTATGAAGGTCTGATAATTTTCTTTTTGAAAGGGAATCTATGTTTTATTTTTTACCACTCCGAAGCTGCTGTGATGGCTTTCAGGAAAGCTCAGTTCCTAAAGTTAGATTTACGATCCTATCAAGGTATGAAAAACCACCAAGCTTCATGTATCTGTTATCGAAGAACAAAGAAGCTCTATGTGCTGCCTGCGAAGCCTAAAGAAGCTGTAGTAAGTTCCATTACAACTTTACTTTACGACAGATTTTTACCTGCTTATAACACTACAGGTATTTTGATGTTAAAAACGCACCGCTCTATTTAGGAATGTCTTTTTGTTTTCTGATCTTTAAATTTCTTTGAGACTGCTCTTGCAGCAACCGATGATAGCGGCAGCGCTTGGGGGATTTGTGTACGAATTGATTGGGCTCGTCATAGCAATTTGCACCATTTTTTCATATTCTATTCAAACAATTGGTATAACATTCATTGAGTTTAAGGGCGGCCATTAGATTGAGGAACATCCTAGAATATACTTTATAATTCTGAAGCAATTAGCGTCATTCGAATCCGCCATTATAAAAAGCACTTATAACGTTTCGGAACTACATAGGCTTCCAGGACAGCATCCTCCAAATCCACACCATACTGCAGACAGAGCAAGATCATGAGACTGGAGAAAAAGCAAGGAAGACTGACCAGCTTCGCCTGCAGGAGCTCCATTCGCTTACAGACCTCAACATAATTGGGTATTCGCTCCATCATATACCTGGACCAACAGAGAAAGGAATGAGTTAGAGAGGGTAATTCGATGGTGTTTCCTTACATGTTTTCCGCTGCTGCAACAAGAATCTGGTCTTCCGGCCCAGAACGTAGGGCCGAGTATGACAAGTCAGGGAGGGCCTTGTACACCGGCAGCCGGGTGTTGATCATCCAGCAGTAACCGTGGTACATGCATGTCTGCACAAGGCGTTAACTACATATCACTGGAACGAGAAACTGCTTACTATCAAAGCATGGTCGTGGGGACTGATGGACTCTGGTGGCCTTGCAGTCAAGAGCAAGCTGGTAAAAGGGCTAGTGTTGATCGCCTGGATCAACTGGGAGAGGGCGTGCACGTCGTCGATGCACGTACCGGTTGGCGGCGGGTACGCATGGCAGTACTCGGGGAGCCCCTTCCACCGGAAGACGTAGCCACTTACCTTGTACTCGTGGAGCACATCTCGCAGCAGTCGCAGGAGAACTCGGTCCTTCTTCTTCCTGTAGAGCCGCGTGATGCAGCGCACCGTCTGGCTGCATCGGGAGGGCTGCTCGTAGTGGAAGTAGGCCGAGCCCATGATCCGGTCTAGGATTGGAATGGCTGGGGATGCTTCGAATTCCTCCAGCTGGGAAGATTGTAAGACGCGAAGAGAAAGCAATGAGATGTAGCGAAGATCCTCGTCAGTGACACCGTTTGTGGGATCTAGCCGGAGGTAGAGTTCGCGCTCTTGAAGGCTGTCAAAGAGACGACCACAGTAGAGAAGCTGGATGAGACGGCCCAGCTTGCCCAGTCCGCCCCAGTCGAAGAGAAAGTTGGTCTGGCACCTGGACACTAGATAGGCTTCCTCGCGCTCATGCTCCCACGACTCGGCAAGATCTCTAACCAATTTGCTCTTACCGGCCAGCTCCCTGCGGTGCGCCATAGCCAAGTCCCTCTGCCACAGCACCTTCCTCAGTCTCTCCATTTACCCTAATCCTTGCCACGAGACACGTATTTATTCTCGTTTCAGTTGAGAATATACTTTATATACTGCTCTTTTAACATACCTTTTCTCAAAGGCTCGCCAAGGTTTTGGATTAGTTATTGATGATGGAAGCTTAGATTGAAGAATGCCTCTGTGGAACACCTTTGGCCACAAAGTCATTTTCTTTAGACTTTGATGCCACTGGCTTTGGTTTCTCTTGCTCGTTTTCCTCGTCAACTCCTCGCAATGCAACATCCTATTTGTCCCACTCGTCCCAAAGTCCATGGCGCTCACTTTTAAACTACAAAACGTGAGAGTCCGAGGAGAAAGCATTGGAGAGCAGCACAAAAGCCTGTCCAAGCTCCTCGTCCATTTCCACAAGCCTCTGTGCGGCAAAAGCCGCTTTTTCCAGATCGATGCTACCTCTGGATGATCCCAGCAGCGCCTTCCAAGCCACAGCATCCGCTTCTCCCTCCACCACTTCCCGAGCAAAATCCACGCGCCCTGCTCGTCCTAGAAGATCAGCCATGCACAGGAAGTGCTCCAAGCTCGGCCGCGAGGAGTGATCCAACACCAAGATCTGGAACAAGAGCTTACCCCGCTGGAGAAGCCCGGCATGGTTGCAGGCCACGAGAGCACACACGAAAGTGGTCGAGTCCGGGGTCACACCCTCCAGCTCCATTTCCAGCAGCAACTCCAGGCTCTGGCTTGAGTCTCCGGTGTGAGCCAGCGCCGCGAGGATTGTGTTCCAGAGCACGGACGATGCGCCAAAACCAGCTCGGAATGCGTGAAAAACTTCTCTCGCGGTCCCGACGCTCCCACACTTGGCGTACATGTTCACCAGCGAGCTGCAAAGGAACGCGTCAGCTTGCATCATCTTTCTCTCGATCCGGAGCTCATGAAAGATCTTACCGGATGACAAATCTCCCAGCAAAGAACACGCACCGAGAAGCGTCGACAGAGTTGTGGAGTCGGGATCCATCTTCATATCTCATACAGCTCCAGCGCTTCTTTCCCTTGACCGCTCTGGACATACCGAGCATCGTGTTCCATGCCACCAAGTCTCGCCGCTCCATTCGATCAAACACGCCCCTGGCAGAAGCACAGTCATCAAAGCTAGTATACATCTTCACCAAAGCAGTCTCCAAAACAAGGCCAGAGTTCTCGAGCTTACTTGCAAGAATTCGCTGGTGGATCGCCTTTCCTTGCTCCAAAGTCAAGCACGCAGCTAGAACAGTGGAGTATGTCACTCTGTTGGGCGGAACGTTCATCGCATGGTAGATCTCCAGTGCCTCGCGGCTATGCCCGTGTTGTGCATATCCACCAATCATGGCAGTATGTACCACGACGCTCTTCTGTGCGATGCCATCAAAAACTCGTCGAGCATCGGCCACTGCCCCGCACTTCACGTAGAAGTTCACAACAGCTACTTGCAGAGCTTGATCTTCCTTGTCGAATCCACAGCAAATAGCTCGCGAATGGATCATCTTTCCGGTTTTCAAGTCCCTAGAGCTCGAGCAGGCACCAAGAACCGTGGTGAGAGTCCTGTGATTCGGCTCTTGCCCCTCCAAGTCGATGGAATGGTATGCCCCGAGAGCTTCCCTGACAAGCCCGTGCTGGGCATACCCAGCGATCATAGCGTTCCACGGAGCGCCACCTTTGTCTCCTCCAAGAAAGCTCTGGCGATCTCCACACGGCCAAGCCTCGAGTAGAAGCTTACGATCGAGGTTTGCGCCATTGCCTCAAAGAAAATCGCAGGAAACTCCGCCAGAGTTCTCGCGTGGATTGATTGCCCCAGCTCCAGATCGTCGCAAGACCCGAGAACGCTGGAAAACGAGATCTGATTCGGCTCAATGCCGGTAGAGATCATCTCGTTGTAAGCATGAGCGGCTTCTCTCGAATGCCCGTTGCGGGCATATGCGGTGATCATCGCGTTCCAGGATACCAGGCTCTTCTCCGGAATGGATTGGAACACGGACCTCGCGAGATCGACCCTCCCGTGTCTGCCATACATCGCCACGAGAGAATTTTGGAGCATGAGATCAAATTCCAGCTCCGAGGAAGAGATATGGCGATGGATTGCGGTACCTTGAGCCGTGTTCGTGCAAGCTCCAAGAACTCGAACAAACGTGTGCCGGTCGGGCCTCTCTCCCTCGAGTGCCATTCGCCGAAAGAGATACAGCGATTCGTCCCCTCGTCCATTGCCCGCGTATGCGCCGATGACGAAATTCCAGCACAGAGCGCTCTTCCGGGGCAGTGATTCAAACAGGGATCGAGCTCGATCGACGCTGCCGCACTTGGCGTAGAGCTGGATGAGCAGCGCTCCGAGATCTGGATCCGTGCCGAATCCGGCCGCCGCAATGCAAGAGTGGAGAGAGATCGCGTCGGGGAGATTGGCGGCGCACTGCCGAATCGCCCGGGCGTAGGCGTGGATCAGTGGCATAAACCCTAACGGATATTCCCCTTTGAAATCTACTTGCCGTTTAAATCTGGGTAGAAACGTTTATCTGAGTATATGCTAATGAAGCTCTCTCTCTCTCTCTCTCAATTTAGCGATTTGAAAAAATGGGCGGGAAATGAGAGTGACTCTTGAAGTGGGAAATGAGAGTGACTCCCAGAGGTAAAATCCTAAAATCATACAGAGTTTGCTGCTATATTCTTACAAAGGAGAACGCGTTTGGTGGTCGAGCCAGCAGAGTCAAAGAGAGCTTCAACACAGGCTAGAACTGATTTCCAGACCTGTCACACCTGTGGAGGAGGAGATTTCAGTCAGGTGCTGTGCATTTTCGAGTAGAGAAACAGCTCGGCTCTTCAACCAGCTGCAACTGAAGGTACTTCATGCTTTTGGTTTGCAAGATTTGTAATCAAACTCGAGAACCAGGCGGGTTATAATCTTAGAGAAAGGAAAAGCATGAACGTTCAGGGCATGAGCTTCCTCTGGCGGATCAAGTTCATCCACTGAACTATGCGTGCACGCTCATGGTCACTGTCTGCTCGCAGTTGTTCACGGATTGATCGATTTCGGTAGCATTTCTTTGCGAGGCCGAGCCCGTTGCTGGGGGGTTTGGAGGATCTGGAGTGTTACTAGCGAGATTTAGGCGGAATTCTCGACGATCAAGAGGCAGAGATCACATAATTCCAGTGGCAGTGGAAATTTGCGCAAGTATATGTTGATTCGAACATCCTGGCCACACCGGCGAGAAACTGGCCAAGCACTCTCGCGGGGCGATACCAATCGCGCTGGGATGCATGGCCAGCTTCCTATATGAAAAACACTTTGAACTAGAAAGAAATCTTTTCTTAGAATAGGTTTTTTGTTAAATTGATTGTAGCAAAGTGAATCCTGGTCACTCGTGATTCTCAAAGCGCGCGAGTCATGTTTCCAAGGATGGATTGACGGGTTCGATTTTTGGTGCGATATTTTCTTTTCTTGCTCGTTCATTTTCTTAGCCGGGCTTGAATACCTTTCATGTGTGATATTTCATTACTCTCTTGACCGTCACCTAGGGCAAGCTCGTAACCACCATTTTTCTCTGCCAGTTTCTCACCAAGTTACAGTGCTGTTTTCCAGGAACGCTTCCGATAACAGGCCAGTTTCAAGACGATGATCTCCAAGAGTTCCCGATGGATCTAGACGAGGACAACAGTGCCAGCGAGAAAAGCAAGGAGGTTCCTTGCGCAACAACTCTAAAACGCAGCCCCGAGCTCTCGGGAATGAGGGCAGTTGTTATGGCTCTTCGCTAATTTGCACAACCCGTAAGCTCTATCAATCTCTTTGGCTTTGCCAGGATGTAAGCTTGAATGCTTGTAAGTTTCCAAGAAAAGAAGAAAAAACTGAAGTTTGCACAAGAATTGGCCATCACGAAGAAACAGGTAAGATTGTTAGCCATTGAATATTTCTTTTTTGTTTGTCATTTTTCTTCAGCAATAGCAGAGCTAGACTGCTCGAGAGAAACAATTAAGCAATGAAACATGCTTGTGCCACTGAGCCTGAGTTCTCTGCCGTCGGTTGCGTGTCGGATGCCGTTGATGCCTGCGTCAGGATTGGTGTTTCTCGCTTGAAAAGCTCCGCAATCGCGACGAGAGGACGACGCATCCATAGCAATCGAAGCAATGATTCTGACGAGCAGAACTGGAGATTTCGAGCCTCATTTCGTTCTTGGCTTTCTTGGACGGGCAGGCCTCTCTGTCTGTCTCTCTCTCCCCCCGATTTGTTTGTTCCAGGATGCAAGCGGCTCACCGACAATGCATAAGCAATTCAGCAATTTAATGATTATTTTTCTTGAAATAAAGCTACACAATTGGGTTATAGAACAAATATTATATTAATAATTTGCTGCGTTGCATGGTTTAATGATAGTATTAAATAATCCAATTGATCAAAAATTATAAACAAATGAAAGAATAAACAAGAATATACTAGGAAGTTCTTAAGAACGTTTATAAATTAAAAATACAAAATTGAATAACAACCATTAGATGGTAGAATATTTTAAATTATCCAAGTATATTCTAGATATATTCACTGTTTTCTTAAGCAAACCAACAATCTATTTAATCTTTTATTTATAATTTTAGTAAAAAGAAAATAAATCATATTTAAAATCTAGAAAGTAAATGGTAATAGATATACCTATATGCTTGAATATTTGGGATATTCTACCATTATTCTTGTGTTTATCATTTATAAACACTTTTAAACACCCTAATCAATTCTAGCTTATTTTAAACCATCACCCTATTTTTCCTTGTGAGATTTGGAACTTGTGCTGTCTCTGTAATGTTAATTTAGTATACAAATACAATAGTCAACAATCAATCAAAAATACAAAATGAAGTGAATGAAAAAAAACAGTCAAAAACACACTTTGAAGCATTTATAGAATCCCAAATAAATAAAATTTCTGGGACATTAAAAACTTGATAATCTAGCTAAGAAGGTAATAGTTATTTTCTTTATCTAATGTTTTTATGACATTATTAAAAACAATAGTTTTGAGATGGAAAACAAAAAAGAAAAAGCAAGATTTGAAGTTTACATTGTGTAATCTTGAATAAAATTGTTACTTTTAACTTTTTTTAATATTTAGAACCCTGCTTACCATGTATAGCAAATCTTTATAAATAAGAAATATTTAATTAATAATTGTGAGTGCATGGAATATGGAAAGGGAATACAGAAATGTGCATATCAATTAGCCCAAAAACCCTAGCTTATATACAGGAGCGAGTGGTCCGGATTGAAACCAATCCGACGGCTACCAAAATCCACTACGCTAATATTAGTATACGGCATCGTAGCCGTACACTTGGCCCTCACATCATCCCTTCCTCTCGGAATAATGGAAGGCCGTCAGGGTTCTCTTGTAGATGGGCCGGGATCTGGAGGAACGTCAGGAGGAGGCATTGGTGGATCTGTAGATGGTATTAACTGCTCCTGATCCCTTTGTATGAAGCGTTTTAACCGCTGCACATGCACAATCTCCGGAGGATCGGCCTGCTAAACGTCATGCCGAACCTCATAAACTTGTGGTCCAACTTGCCGCAACACCCGATACGGTCCTTTCCACTGCGCAAGGAGCCCCTTAGATGAACCACGTACCGTAAGATGGGGAAAACGGACTAACACCAAATCATCCACTTTGTACTCCGCAGGTGGACGATGATGGGAATTGTAACGCCGTTGTTGTCCCACTTGTACGCGGCTTAAGTGTTCAGCAGACTCTGCTCGGACAAGTGGAAGAATGCTTGTCAAATATTGATCCCATGACCTAGCATCAGGAGCTCGTGGCAATCGCGAAGGTAAACCCAGCTCTGTTGGTAATATTGGATCATGACCATATAGAAGTTTATATGGTGAAGCACCAACAGAACTCTGCACCCCTGTGACATAGGCATACCGAAGAGACGGCAAATAACCATCCCAATCCAAATGTTGAAAGTTCACATACTTCGCAATCATCCCTTTGAATGTCCGAACGAGCCGTTCCACCAGACCGTCTGATTGTGGATGATAAGCACTCGTAAAAGTGTGGCGTATCCCCAACCGAGATGTCAAAACATGAAATACCTCAGCCATAAATGCAGGACCATTATCCGAAAGAATCCGCTCTGGACAAGAATGCTGGAACACCACTCGATTGAGGAGGAAGTATCCAACAGCAGTTGCAAAAGCACTAGCAAGAGCACCAACTTCCACCCAACGAGTCAAGTAGTCAGAAGCAATAATAACATACTCATTGGCAGCAGTCGATCGCGGAAAAGGTCCCATAAGATCAAACGCCACCAACTCAAACGGACGAGAAACTGCAATTGACTCCAACCGTCCTTCCGCAGCACAAGGGGGAGTATTACGAGTTTGGCACCAAACGCAGCTACACACATACCGGATAATATCACGTCGCATCTCTGGCCAATAGAAAGATCTGCGCAGCTTCTCGGTGACACGACGGTGTCCCATATGCCCACCTAGAATAGGAGAATCATGGTAGGCATGGAGAAACCGCGGAATAAACACCAAAGGCACCACCAGCCGTAAATGATCAGCAGGATCCGTCCCCACAAAATAAAGAAGGCCATCTTCAAGGCGATATTGAGAATGTAAATGCCGAAAAGGTAAGTCATCAGCAAGTGATGCAGGATTCTTAAACCCATCTCAAAGCCTTCGAATCCACGGCTCAATCTTTTGAGCCTCGCGAACCTCATCAAGAGAAGGTAGATCTTGCTCTATGCCCTGTGGACACTGAACGTCAAGGACAGCAACCGCCAACGGCACATAATCCTCATCTAGAAAATCCACAGATGCTGGAACAACAGGTTCGTCAGAAACATGAGAAGTGAGTGGAGAAGGAAGAGGAGCTCGAGAAAGGGCATCAGCATCAGCCATAGAACTCCCTAGGCGATGAACAACATCGAAATCATATATCTGAAGCTTCAAAGCCCATCGAGCCGTACGACCAACCAGGTTCTTCCGCTTCAATAATGAAGTAACAGCAGCATGGTCACCTTCAAGTAACGTCCGAGAACCATGTAGATATGCATGAAGTTTCTCGAAACCCCAGACTGCTGCTAAACACTCCTTCTCCGTCGTGGAGTAGTTCATCTCCGCTGGTTGTAATGTACGGCTGATGTATGCAATGGGATGGCGCTGACCAGGCACACTCGAGCTCTCTTGCATCAACACACCTCCAAGACCAATGTCAGAAGCATCCACGCGCAAAATAAAAGGTCGAGTGTAGTCAGGATATGCCAAAACCGGAGGAGTCGTCAATAGCTCTTTGAGATTCACGAACGCCCGCTCACAATTGGGAGACCAGATGAAAGATGACGTTGATGACTTCAGCAACGCTCGCAATGGTGTAGTGCGATCGGAAAGATGATCCACAAAACGACCGAGATATTGCACCTTACCCAAAAAACGCTGCACATCATTCACACACTTTG